TTTCTCCTCCTCCTCACTTGCCCTCTATGATCACCTCTAGCTTTGCTTATAATTGTGAACTATTGCTATGCCTGCTCATTGTACTGATTACACCCCACTTTGGCTATGGGGGTGTGTCAGAATGTTATTATTGTCTAGCCTGTAGTGGGGTGCTCTATAGCGAGTACAACCCAGTTAGGGTTTGCTATATGTACCCCAACTGCTGCTAGTGAAACCCCTCCTTTTGCCTTCATTCTCTCTTGCCTAGCTAGGTCAACCCTAGCTATGGCTCCTCAGTATACCTACTATCTTGAAACCCTCCGAGTGTGACAACAAGTCACCTCATAGCCAAGGGTATAACACAAACAAAGTGAGTAGTTATTGTCAAACATTATAGGTGTTGCGCTACTTGTGCAGTACGTCGGCCATGGGGCTAGTGCTTGGAGGGCGAGACCGAGTTGTACTTACTGGACACTCAGACGCTTCTTGGGCGGACGACCAGGCTACTCAGCGGTCGTCTCAGGGTTACACCTTCAGCCTTGGCTCCGGCTCAGTTTCTTGGCGTTCTACACGCTCTTCTTCTGTTCTCAGCTCCAGTTGTGAGGCTGAGATCTACGCCACAGCCATGGCTGCCCAGGAGCTACGCTGGCTGACCTACCTGCTGACCGACCTGGGAGAGCGGCCTCGTTCTCCTCCAGTGCTGTACGTCGACAACCAGGCTGCCATTGCCTTGTGTGAGGAGCACAGACTGGAGCACAGAACGAAGCACATTGCCCTGCGGTACTTCCTTGCTCGAGAGCTGCAGCAGCGTGGTCAGCTACGTCTGCGTTACGTGGCCACTGAGGCCAACCTTGCTGATGTGTTCACCAAGGCGCTTCAGCCTTGTGACCATCAGCGTTTCTGTACTCTTCTAGGCCTTGTGCCTGCTGGACCTCACTTGCTTACTTCTTGACTCTGTTTGTACTGTGATCTTTATATATATGCCTGCATGTTTACTCTTGCTAGGTTGTGATCACTGTATCTCTTGCTATTTTATCAACCTGCATGTGAACTGGTCTTGTGACCACTTGCTTGTGCTCGGAATTTGTGTGGTATCCTTGAGATCCACCCTGAGCTTGTTTTGCTTTGCTTTGACTGGTCTTGTGACCCCTTGCTCTCCCCCACTTTGCCTATGGGGGTGTGTCAAACATTATATGTGTTGTGCTTGTTTAGGCTACAGTGGGTTAGCCTATAGGGGGTACACAATTCTAGGGTTAGGTACTTGTACTCATTTCACTGCTAGTTCATTCATTCCTCGTTCAGTTCTTCTGACAGTTATGCCATGCTTAATTTGTGGAATGAGGAATCTGGTCGAGCAGCGTTTCGGCAGCACCACGTTACGTTTCTACTCTCGTCAATACGTAGTAGTAGAATTCCAAGCTTGAAAAAACATAATAGCATTGATTGAAAACCAACAAGTACAAGCACACATTTATAAAAAGGCCTAAACACACAAAGGGAAACATAAAGCAGTTGCTTAACTGGAATCCAGGCCTTCGCTTTGCTGTAAAATAAAACGGTTGTGAAACTGCTGGAGAATTTGGCTCAATCTGCCTCATGAGAATTAACTGTAATCCACTTGAATTGAAACCAAAGTCCCCTGCTGATTCACGTCATGAATTTCCGCGAGTTCACATGAGGAATCATGGACACTCGTGTGAGAAACCGTTTCCCAGTTATAAAACGGATTTTACCGTTGATAAAACGGTATTTACCGTTTTGTACCTGCGTCGAAATGATCACGCTAAACAACGTGACTTTCGCGCGAAATCGGCTGTGTTCCAGGTCAGCGCGGGATTCGGTTAGTCAACCGAAATCCCGAAGCACCCTCGGTCAAGCGAGAAAAGCCGATCGCTGACGCGATCGTGCTTTGTCTCGCGTGGGACAGGGCATTAAATTGCCCTGTCTTGTTGCTGTCAAACATTATATATGTTGTGTTTGTTTAGGCTACAGTGGGTTAGCCTATAGGGGGTACACAATTCTAGGGTTAGGTACTTGTACTGATTTCACTGCTAGTTCAATCATTCCTGTCTGTTGATTTCGACATGGTTTCAGAGCAGGTCCTTCGCTAGGACCGTTCTTAGGGCCCACCGCTACCTACCTACCTACCTACCTACCTACCGTGCGCCCTCGTGCGCCTACGCGCCCCAGTGCGCCTCCTACCTACCGCGTGCGTGCAGCCCGCCAGCCAATCGCGCGCGGCTCGTTTTCTATTTTTTTTTTTTTTTTTTTTTTTTTTTTTTTTTTTTTTAACCGCGCGCGACCCGCTAGCTGCCCGCGCGCGGCCGATTTCTTTTGAGCGCGACCGGCTAGCCGCCCGTGCGCCGCTCGCACCGCTATAGCGCAGCCCGCAGCGGCCCCGCAGGCCTGCACATTGCCGCCCGCCCGCTGCAGCGCCCGCCCGCTCGTCGCCCGCTGCAGCTGCCGCCCGCTCGTCGCCCGCTGCAGCTGCCGCCCGCTCGTCGCTCGCTGCTGCTGCCGCCCGCTCGTCGCTCGCTGCAGCGCCTGCCCGCTCGTCGCCCGCTGCAGCTGCCGCCCGCTCGTCGCCCGCTGCTGCTGCCGCTCGCTCGTCGCCCGCTGCTGCTGCCGCCCGCTCGTCGCTCGCTGCAGCTGCCGCCCGCTCGTCGCTCGCTGCTGCTGCCGCCCGCTCGTCGCCCGCTGCAGCGCCTGCCCGCTCGTCGCCCGCTGCAGCTGCCGCCCGCTCGTCGCCCGCTGCTGCTGCCGCCCGCTCGTCGCACGCTGCAGCTGCCGCCCGCTCGTCGCCCGCTGCTGCTGCCGCCCGCTCGTCGCCCGCTGCAGCTGCCGCCTGCTTGTCGCCCGCTGCAGCTGCCGCTACCACGGGCCCGCCGCTGCAGCTACCGCCTGCGCGTCGCCCGCAGCCGCTCCCGCTCGTGCGCCGCGGCCGCTACCGCCCGTGCGCTCCTGTTGCGCCTGCTACCGCTGCCGCTGCTGCACTCGCTCCCACTGCGGCCGCCGCTTCTGCGCCCACTGCCGCTCCCGCCCGTGCGCATCAGCTGCTGCCGCCCGTGTGCTGACACTGCCCACAGCTTCCCTGCGGCCTCATTCTTACTGTTTCTACCGCTACTGCTACTGCCGCTATGGCTACTCCTACTGTACTTACTTTCGATGCTGAGGGCCGTCCAGTGAAGTTCGAAACCTGGCTCGATGACCTCCACCTCTTTCTACAGCTCACTGCTAAGGAGGACGTTTCACTGTACGATCACGCCCTAGGCAACGCTACTGCCCCTCCTACCACTGCTGACAGCACTCAGCGCTCACAGTGGCAGACTCGTGACGCCCACGCTCGCTTCGCTATTCGTAACTCCCTACCGATCGACGAGCGCGAGCACTTTGGCCAGCACAAAACTGCTAAGGACCTGTACACTGCTGTAGTCGCTCGCTACTCCTCCCCCGCTTCTGCCACACTAGGCCGCCTCACTCTCCCCTACCTGTTCCCCGACCTGGCCTCCTTTCAGACAGTTGCTGACCTCATCACCCACCTTAAGACCAGTGAGGCCCGCTTTCGCGCTGCTATGCCTGACGAGTTCCTCACCAGCAACCCCCCCCCGCTCTGGATCACTCTCTACCACATAGTCACCCGCCTCCCCGACTCCCTGCGCACAGTCAGGGACCACTTCCTCTCTCGCTCCCCCACTGAACTCACCATTGCCCTCCTCGAGAAGGAACTGCTTGCAGCTGAGGCGAGCATCGTCGCTGTAGGCACCTCTCGTGGCGACCCCCGCACCCCGTTCTTTGAGGGGTGTTCCCCTTCCCCTCTCCTCCCCTCTGTCGCCTCTGCTGCTGCTGTCGACCTCCTTGGTGCTGAGAAGGTCGGGGCCGCGTCTGCTTCGAGCGGGCGCCGCAAGAGCAAAGGGGGCAAGGGTGGAGGTGGCGGCGGAGGAGGTGGGGGTGGAGGCGGTGGGAGTGGAGGAGCGGCTGGGGAGGCTAGTGGCGGCAGTGGGGGTGGTGACAGCAGCGGCGGGAGTGGCGGCAGGGGTGGAGGCGGCAGCGGAGGTGGAGGTGGTCGTGGCAGCGGCAGGGGTGGAGGTGGCCGAGGCGGTGGCGGCGGCAGTGGTGGTCGTGGAGGCGCTGGCGGTGGCCAGAGTCAGCAGCCCGCCCCGTCGCTTCAGGCCGCCCGTGAGTGGTATGCGCAGCGTGGCTTTACCTGCACGTACGTCATTCGCACTGGTGACCGCACTGGCCAGCAGTGTGGGAGGCCGCATCCCACACAGCGCTGTTTCGCGCGCCTTACTGACGCGTGGCGTGCCCAGTTTCCTTATGCTGACCTGCCCGCTGGGCTGATCTGGAGAAGAAGGGAGTTGATATCTGGGCTTTAGACTTTGATGCTATTCTCACTGCCATGTATGCGATGTTTACTAGTGGAGAGGGTGCTCAGTACTTGCGTGTTCCGCCCGACCCGGGCATTCAGACCAGTCCGGCTGCCGCTCTAGGTGCTAGTGAGTCTGCTGCCCCAGGTCCTGGTGAGGCTGCTGCTCTAGGTGCTAGTGAGTCCGTGCCCTCTGGTACTGAGTCGACTGCAGCACTGCACACCTTCACACTGGACTCAGGTGCTTCTCGCTGTTTCTTTCGTGACCGCACTGTCCTTGAGCCGCTTGCTCGGCCAGTTGCTGTCTCCCTCGCTGACCCCTCTGGGGGTCCGGTCGTTGCAACCTCCTCCACTGTCCTTCCTTGTCCTGCGGTCCCGTCAGGCACACTGTCAGGTCTCCACCTCCCCTCGTTCTCTACGAACTTGGTGGCAGGTAGTGCGCTCCAGGACGGGGGTGTTCACCAGTTCACCCCTGCTTACGAGCGCGTGACCCACTGCACGTGTGCTCGGACGGGCCGTCACCTGGCTACCTTCACTCGGCAGCCGGGGTCGGACCTGTACACACTGACCACTGAGTCCCCTCAGGTAGCTGCGTCCGCGTCTGCGTCTGCGTCAGGTCAGCTGTCCGCCCCCTGCTCGTGTCGCTCTCTGGCGCATGAGACTGTCCTCTGGCACCACCGCCTTGGTCACCCGTCTGTGCAGCGCCTTCGGGCCATGCACAAACGGGACCTTGTTGCTGGTCTTCCCAGGGTTCTCCCTCCCCTCCCACCCTCGCCTGCTCCTCCCTGTCTTCCCTGTGTCGAGGGGCGGCAGCGCGCCGCTCCTCACTCGGACGTTGGAGCTGCTGCTGGTGCTGCGGACCCGAGCGGTGGCGCTGCTGCTGGTGCTGAGGACCCGGGCGTTGGAGCTACTGCTGGAGCTGAGGACCCGGACGGTGGAGCTGCTGCTGGTGCTGAGGACCCGGACGTTGGAGCTGCTGCTGGTGCTGAGGACCCTGCCGCTGGTGTCTCTGCTGGTTCTGGAGACGCTACGCGGCCGCGACCGTACTTCGTACCACTTCTTCAGCAGGTTCTTGGTCAGACTCCTCCTCCTTGTCCTCCTCCCTCCGTAGAGTGTCCTCCGCCTGTCCAGTCGCAGTCACAGTTCCCGCCTGCCTCGCCTCTCCCTGGTCCCTCTCCCTACACTGGTCCCACAGGAGGTCTTACAGAGCGTCGTGAGCCTGAGTCTCGTCCTGCGTTGCCTGTTCGTACTGCTCGCACTGGTCGTCGTGTCCCACGTGAGCGTCCTCCTCCTGTCCCTGGCACTCACTACATGACTCTGCGTCCCTCCACTGCTCCTCAGCGTGTTCCGCTGCCGTCTCCTCCTGCGTCCTCTCTGCCTACTCTTCCTGATCCGGAGTCTGACTCCCGTCGTGCTGCCAGTCCCACTGTCACCCGTCTCCTCGCTACTGTTGTCACTGACCCTACCTTTGAGTCCTCTGCTGCGTCTGCTCTGGTCGCTGAGTTGATAGACTTTGCTGCCCGGTGTCGTCTAGACTACGCCACTAGCCTTGTTGCTGAGTCTGAGTCTGAGTCTGTCTGTCCTCCGTCCGTTGGGGGTGAGTGTGCTCTTGGCACGGACGTCCTTGAGGACAGACAGGAGGAGTTCCAGTGCTTTGCTGCTGCTTTACCCCACCTCGTGTCCATGCTAGTTGCCCCTGAGGGAGACCCGGATGCACCAGACATCCCGACCCCGCGCACTTACGCTGAGGCGATGGCGGGTCCCTACTCCTCTCAGTGGCAGACAGCCATGGACGCTGAGATGGCTTCCTGGAAGTCCACAGGCACCTACGTCGACGAGGTTCCCCCACCTGGGGCGAACATCGTCAGTGGCATGTGGATTTTCAGGGTGAAGCGGCCACCGGGTTCTCCTCCTGTCTTCAAGGCGCGCTACGTGGCTCGAGGCTTCAGTCAGCGAGAGGGAGTTGACTTCTTTCAGACCTTCTCCCCCACCCCGAAGATGACCACTCTTCGGGTGCTACTGCACATAGCCGCTCAGCGCGACTACGAGCTTCACTCACTTGACTTCAGCACTGCTTTCTTGCAGGGCAGCCTGCACGAGGAGATCTGGCTGCGCCGCCCTCCTGGCTTCACTGGGTCGGTTCCTTCTGGTACCCAGTGGAGGCTTCAGCGGCCGGTCTACGGTCTCCGCCAGGCACCGCGTGAGTGGCACGACACACTGAGGACGACACTTGCGGCTCTTGGGTTCGCTCCCTCTACTGCTGACCCGTCACTGTTTCTACGCACAGACACCTCACTGCCGCCGTTCTACATCCTCGTGTACGTGGACGACTTGGTCTTTGCCACTGCTGACACCGCGGCACTCGCCCACGTGAAGTCGGAGCTGCAGAGGAGACACACGTGCACAGACCTAGGTGAACTGACAAGCTATCTTGGCTTGCGGATCACCCGGGACAGAGCACGGCGCACCATCACCTTGACTCAGTCACACATGGTGCAGCAGATCCTTCAGCGCTTCCGCTTCACGTACTCCTCGCCTCAGTCCACTCCTCTGCCTACCGGTCACTCGCTCTCAGCTCTGCCTTCGGATGAGTCCGTAGAGCCGAGTGGCCCGTATCCAGAGCTTGTGGGCTGCCTCATGTACCTGATGACCTGCACTCGACCTGACCTTGCATACCCTCTTAGCATCCTTGCACGCTATGTCGCTCCTGGCCGTCACAGGAAGGAGCACATGGATGCCGCTAAGAGGGTGTTGCGCTACTTGTGCAGTACGTCGGCCATGGGGCTAGTGCTTGGAGGGCGAGACCGAGTTGTACTTACTGGACACTCAGACGCTTCTTGGGCGGACGACCAGGCTACTCAGCGGTCGTCTCAGGGTTACACCTTCAGCCTTGGCTCCGGCTCAGTTTCTTGGCGTTCTACACGCTCTTCTTCTGTTCTCAGCTCCAGTTGTGAGGCTGAGATCTACGCCACAGCCATGGCTGCCCAGGAGCTACGCTGGCTGACCTACCTGCTGACCGACTTGGGAGAGCGGCCTCGTTCTCCTCCAGTGCTGTACGTCGACAACCAGGCTGCCATTGCCTTGTGTGAGGAGCACAGACTGGAGCACAGAACGAAGCACATCGCCCTGCGGTACTTCCTTGCTCGAGAGCTGCAGCAGCGTGGTCAGCTTCGTCTGCGTTACGTGGCCACTGAGGCCAACCTTGCTGATGGGTTCACCAAGGCGCTTCAGCCTTGTGACCATCAGCGTTTCTGTACTCTTCTAGGCCTTGTGCCTGCTGGACCTCACTTACTTACTTCTTGACTCTGCTTGTACTGTGATCTTTATATATATGCCTGCATGTTTACACTTGCTAGGTTGTGATCACTGTATCTCTTGTTATATTATCAACCTGCATGTGAACTGGTCTTGTGACCACTTGCTTGTGCTCGGAATTTGTGTGGTATCCTTGAGATCCACCCTGAGCTTGTTTTGCTTTGCTTTGACTGGTCTTGTGACCCCTTGCTCTCCCCCACTTTGCCTATGGGGGTGTGTCAAACATTATATATGTTGTGTTTGTTTAGGCTACAGTGGGTTAGCCTATAGGGGGTACACAATTCTAGGGTTAGGTACTTGTACTGATTTCACTGCTAGTTCAATCATTCCTGTCTGTTGATTTCGACACTTGCGATCGTGCAACTGTGCACGGTCGCAACAGTCGCGACACACGCGCGGGCCCTGAGGGGCCACACGCGTATGTCAGGACCCCACGTGCGGGTCCTGATTTTCGCGCGCTTTGTAACCAGCACGAAAGTGGTCAAAGGGGCCGAGTCAAAGACTCGAGCCCAGCACCCCCCAATGCACTCGACACTCGCCACGAGTGCTCATGAAAACTCGTGAGTCTTCATGAGCTTTCATGACGCCCGTGAAATTCATGAACACACACGGATGTTCATGAAAAGTAACGGACGAACATGAGTCGCCATGAAAATTCATGACTCGTCATGATCCGTCATGACTTGTCATGTGCCCACAACAAAAACACATGATACAAAATGAAAAAACGAATGCACACAAAACACACACAAAATGCGGGACTTCATGCAGGCGGCTGGTTGACGTGCAAAAATAGTATTTGCACCCAACATAAACGTGGGTCTACGTTTACTGTAAGATTAAAGGTGAAAGGGAAAAATGTGTGTGTGAATGGTTTTCTTTCGGATTGTCATGCCGCTTGGGCACGACAATATGCAGTCCTAAGATTTCGTGGATGTCAAACAAAAGAAAGCTTTCCTTTTGATAAAAAAATCTTTATGAAAGATGGGAAAATTGTGCCGATCCCATTCTTTGATACGATCTTTGGGTATAGTGATAACGATGGGTCGCTACAATCACAAGAAGAGAAATACGTTGGTGTTTATAGAGGATATGAGAAATATGGATTTCGATTAATGGTACAAAGCCAAAACTACATGTACGAGAAGTGGGATTCAAAAAAATCAGCAGCGCATGCAAGGCATTATGTTCTCCATTTGATTTTTGGTCCAAATTGCTCCAAATTGCTCCAAAAAGTTACAATTCAAAGTGGAAACTTTTTATAACGTTCTCAAGTTCATTCACAATGACTTCTTGGACAACCTATTTGCGGATGTAAGTATTTGTTATGATGATGTCGAACGACAAACAAATATGTTGATGAGGGTATCAAACGCTTTAATGAAGCTTCAAAAGAAGGTCCAATTTATGTGTGTGATAGTTTTGAAAAGTTGTTTTTTAGAAGACAATTAATGACGTTGGAGATGGATTCATTTTCTCATTTACGTAATGTTTGTAGTAGTTGCAGAGATAGCTTAATACACCATACGGTACCTACATTATCTCGTGAAGGCGGTGCGATCTTACACACGCAACCTGATAGCCTAAAAGGGCTAACATATTTAGAAGAACGATTAGTTTCGCCGCGTGTTTTGTTTTCAAGCATCACACAAGTTCATGTCGGAAAACAATATAAGGTACGAGGTTGAGTTGTCAATGTTCCCGTTAGAGTTGTTGATATGGTAACTGCACTTCCACGATTACCGCAAGAAGCACATTCAGTACGTGTGCGTTTCAAGCGTAAATTGGAACACGTCCATAGTGTATACGATGAAAATGTACGACATAGTAAAGTTTCTCGGGCTCTATCATTTTTGGAGAAAAAGGAACCTTTTTATGCAATTTGGAAAAACCTTGGATGCTGAAAGATTGCATGATCTAGAACAAGAGGTTAATGAGATAGATGTTGGGTGCAAATAATATTTTTGCACGTCAACCAGCCGCCTGCATGAAGTCCCGCATTTTGTGTGTGTTTTGTGCGCATTCGTTTTTGCATTTTGTTTCATGTGTTTTTGTTGTGGGCGCATGAGAAGTCATGACGGTCATGACGAGTCATGAATTTTCATGGTGACTCATGTTCGTCCGTTAATTTTCATGAACATCCGTGCGTGTCCATGAATTTCACGGGCGTCATGAAAGCTCATGAAGACTCACGAGTTTTCATGAGCACTCGTGGCGAGTGTCGAGTGCATCGGGGGGTGCTGGGCTCGAGTCTTTGACTCGGCCCCTTTGACCAATTTCGCGCTGGTCAAAAAGCGCGCGAAAGTCAGGACCCGCGCGTGGGGTCCTGACATACGCATGTGGCCCCTCAGGGCCCGCGCGTGTGTCGCAACTGTTGCGACCGTGCACAGTTGCACGATCGCAACAGGACAGGGCAATTTTCTCACGCGAGAAGCAGATGCCCTGTCCCACGCGAGACAAAGCACGATCACGTCAGCGATCGGCTTTTCTCGCTTAACCTGGGGTTTCACGGGATTACGGTTGACCAACCGTATCCCGTGCTGACTCGGAAAACAGCAGCCTTCGCGCGAAAGTCACGCTGCGTAGCGTGATCATTTCGACGCAGGTACAAAACGGTAAATACCGCTTTATCAATAGTAAAATCCGTTTTATAACTGAGAAGCGGTTTCTCACACGAGTATCCATGATTCCCCATGTGAACTCGCGGAAATTCATGACGTGAATCAGCAGGGGACTTTGGTTTCAATTCAAGTGGATTACAGTTAATTCTCATGAGGCAGATTGAGCCAAATTCTTCAGCAGCTTCACTATCGATTTCTTTTACAGCAAAGCGAAGGCCTGGATTCCAGTTAAGCAACTGCTTTATGTTTTCCTTTGTGTGTTTAGGACTTTATATAAATGTGTGCTTGTATTTGCTTCAAGTCAATCAATGCTATTATGCTTTCCAAGCTCGGAATTCTACTACTACGTATTGACGAGAGTAGAAACGTAACGTGGTGCTGCCGAAACGCTGCTCGACCAGATTCCTCACTCCACAAATCAAGCAAGGCATAACTACTCACTTTGCATCTATTATACCCTTGGCTATGAGGTGACTTGTTGTCACACTCGGAGGGTTCAAAGTGAAGTTAAGTGTTGCCAAGTTTGTTTTCGTGGTCCAGGTTTAAACGCTTCCACATCGTGATCAGAGTTAACACGTGGTATCAAAGCTGGTCCTTAGCCATTCTCAACGTATCCATCGATGGGGTCGCCTGGAGAAGAAGGGAATTCAGCCGTCGCGAGTAGTGGTAGCCAAGAATCTGGTGTCTCCGTGCCTAGGATAGCCCGGACGAGCCAGGGCGCGCTGCTAAGGGAAGTGTTGAAGAACTTCTCAGTCGACAAATTTAGTGGAGAGGGCAATGACGACTGGTCGTGGAAGATGCAGCTGTATTTTTGGCAAATAGGTCTCCTTAAGCTTATGATTGGTAGCGAGAAACGACCTAGTGACCTGGAACTTCAGAACGAGTGGGACGAGCGTTCGTCCGCCGGGTACTACATTTTGTCGCAGAGCCTAGATCTCGCCCAACGCCAGCACATCACCCACCTCCTCCCGGATGAAGAGTGCGGTCCCAAGGCATGGGCCGTGCTCAAGGATCTCCATGCCCCAACATCAGTTGTAGCTACTCTCATGCTGGAGAGAGAGCTCTCCACCCTTCGCCTTAGTGAAGGAGAACCCGTTCAGCCGATCCTAGACAAGCTGAGAGAACTCTACGCCAAGCTTGCCATCGCCGGAATCGCCTACCCCGAGCAAACCAAGTGTGTAAAGATGTTGTCGCTGCTACCGGAGTCGTGGATGATCTTCACGAGCGGCTTGAGCCTTCCACAAAACCAGAGCCTCTGGACCTTGGAGTGGATCCGCACCAAGATACTCGAAGAGGACTTCCGGAGGCGTCAATTGAGGGAAAGTGAAGAGGGGAGCAGCAGCTATGCCATGCAAGGAGGCAAAGGGGGTAAAGGCAAGAAGTGGCAAGGGGCGGGGAGGGGGGCTTCTAAGGATGAGGAGCCCTCAAATCAGCAAGGTGGCAAGGGAACGGGATGTGGTGGAGGACGTGGTGGCAAAGGGGGAAGAAAGGGAGGCGGGAAAATGGAGAGCAAGTGCTGGTATTGTGAGAAGGTGGGACACCC